CCACTGGCTTGGACAATTATTCGGTAACCCAAGGATCTTTAATATTGATAGCATTTACCACCAACAGCTGACTGTCCACAGGGTTTGAACAGGAACCTTAACCCACAAACCAAGCTTGCTATTATGGCCTGTCATACACAATCCACAAAAACCAAACCTACTGTACTTGCTACATCCATGGAACCTCATTGTGCGGCTAGTGAACCACAGCTCACTTTGTGAATCTTTCCAGACCTGGATTAGAGCCACCATACAGCAAGAAAATGTTTTCATCTACTGTTTGAAAGCAAAACAAGACACATAGTGATGTTCTGCAGGGGAGAGAACATCATTCAGTGAAACAAAGGAGAGCTTTCATGGCACTTACCAGTAACCAAAAAGGATCTTCAGTGTAGATGAGAGACCTGTGAAAGAACAAAGAATACTGTTTCAAAAACCACACTGTTTTATTGAGAGGCAAATATATCAAGGAATGCCTTTCATCTTTCCCCTTCTGAAAGGTTCAAGATTCCTGGAACCATCCCATTATGTGGTTACTCTAGATCAAGGGAAGTAGTAGTACCGCTCTATTCTGTTTTGATCAGACCTCATCTGGAATATTGTGTCCAGTTCTGGGCACCACAATTCAAAAAGGATGTTGACAAGCTGGAGCATGTCCAAAGGAAGGAGACCAAAATGGTGAAAAGCCTGAACTAAGACTTATAAGGAGTGGCTTAGGGAGCTGGGTATGTTTGGCCTGGAGAAGTGATGGTTAAGAGGTGATATGATAGCCCTGTTTAAATATTTGAAGGGGTGTTGTATTGAGGATGGAGCAAGCTTATTTTCTGCTGCTCCAGAGAATAGGACACAATGGAGCAATGGATGCACATTACAAGATTCCACATCAACATTAGGAAGAAATCCCTGAGGGTAAGAGCTGTTCTCTTCCAACTCTATGATTCTATGACTGGAAGACTGAACAGTGAACTGCAGTTATGGAATTATATCAACTGATAATTTGTTAATAGTTCAGTGCTGTGATGGCTCAAGGCTCCACTATCTGCCTTAGACAGGCATGACACCTTTAACTAGATCAGGAGAATCTCTTGACCCTGGCTTCATTGTTCAATGCATTATTTTATTTTATTTTTTTAGTGAAAAACAGAGTATGCTGTAAGGAAGACAAAAGTCAGCTCTCTTGCTTTTGTTCCTAATAGCAACACTTCTTTCTTCCACATATAAAATCTGGGTTTATTTAGGGATTTCTAAAGCAATGTCCTCAGTTCTCTGTAGGAATAAGACAACCTATTAGTCATCTGCAATATGGCACTATTGCCAACTTCTTCTGTCTTTTGCTCACTTCTGGAAGTGGGGATAGAGAGGAGTGTAAGTAAGAAAGATTCTCTCCAAAGTGTAAAAAAACAAACAAGCAGGTTTCTTCTGACGTTCAGGGAAGAGAAAAATGCCACTTTGGGTAAACAAATAAAGCATTGAGGAATTATTTTTAAAACATGTATTTATTTTAAGTTCAGGGGATGGTAGTCTAAGGCCAGCATGGTGTCGTAGTTTGAGTGTTGACTACAACTCTGGAAAACAGGGTTCAATTCCCCGCTTGGCCACAAAACCCACTGCGTGACTTTGGGCAAATCACATACTCGCAGCCCCAGAAAACCCCACGGTATGTTTGCCTTAGAGCTGCCATTAAGTCAGAAACAACTAAAATTGGCTATAGTGATGCATGCCTTGACTATATCCCCTTTGGATTACTGTAATACACTCTCCATGGGTCTACCTTTGGAAACTGTTTGGAGAGTTCAGTGAGTCCACAAAGTTGTAGTCAGGTTCCTGACTATAGGGAACATATAACCCATTTGATGAAACAACTTTACTAGATGCTGTTCTATTTCTGGGCAGAATTCAGAGTGGTTATTATGACCTTTAAAGACCCATATGGATTGGGTCCAGACTGTTGGAACAACCATCTCTCTCTATACCAACCTGCTCCAGCTCTATGATCTGCAGGGGAAGATTTTTTTCTCAGCATCACCACTGTACAAGGTACAAAGCAATTTTAAATGACAAAGAAAAAAGGTCCACCTAACCATTACCATTCTTGATGGTAAGAGTGGTTCAGCTGTGGGATAGACTGCATCTGAATGTCATGGACTCTCCTTCTTTGAAGGGCTCTAAACAGGCTGGATGGCTCAATTTTAGGATTGTTTGGGTTTCTGTATGGTGCAGGTTGGACTAGAGATCAATTCCAAGTGATTTGGGGATTCCTCTCTGGTGGAGCCCAATGGACGAAAAGCCAGGAGAAATGAGCATGTAGAGATGGGAGCAGGCCAAAATGCTTCCCCGGCCAGGTGTACTGTAATCCCATTAGCACAGGGAAATAAACCTTTTTGGGTTTTCTTCCCTCCATTTCCCCCCGTCTCTTTCTGATAACACTGGGAGCAGTAAGATTTCTGATTGTCGACCAAAACAGATGAGATAAACTTCACATAATTAACTCGGTTTCCCCCTCTTGCTGGGAAGGAAAAATCTTTAAACATGTTTTTGAAAAAAAAGAAAAAGAAGAAAGCAAATAACAGCTATTTGGATGCTGAGATCCTACAGCATGCTTGTGGGCCTTAAATCAACATTCATGGCATTACCCAGCAGTTGCACTATGCCACCCTTCTGCTGAATATTGATGTTGTGCAACTGATTTTGAATCTGCCAATGTGCTTGCTCTTTCATGTTGTTCTGCAATGGAGAACGAGAACAAGAAGTTTTTGAAAATCCAGGGAACAAAGGGTTAATCTATACAAGCCAAATAATATGGTTTCAGCTAGTTTTCATGGTCAAAGCTATCCAATGACTTATGGGACAATTGGGGCTTCATGCCTTTAATCCAGAGGGGGGAAAGTGGGGATTTATCCCAGTTTTGAGAGGAAAATCCAGATATTCATGTGTGTGTGGACTGCAGCACACAGTGACATTGGTGTAAGTCTGTGGGGGGGGGGGGTAAAACATATTTATATTTGCCTGCATGCCTTTGTCCCTCAATGGCCATCATTAAAACTGAACTTGTCACCCCATCCAAATGCCCATACGTTTTGCCTTTCTATGGCTATTCATATAGTCTTATTATTAAAGGTCCTTCCTGAGCATCAGTTCACTCCATGCATTAGTTCACTCCATGCGTCTTCATGCATCTGAGGAAGCTGACCAAGCCTATGAAAGCTTCTGCTACAATGTCTTTTGCTCACCTAGTTTCAAAGGTTCTACAAGTTCCCTTTGCTTACTGTCAACAAGATCTTTCTAATGTTCAATTGAAATCTATCCCTTGTAACTTAAGACCATTAGACCTGGTCCAACCCTGGAGGACATCAGAGAACAAGTCTGCACCTTTCTCCATCCAACAGCACTTTAGGTAGCTAAAGAATGCCATCATGTTCCTCCCAGTCTTCTCTTCCCAAAGCTGAACATGCCCAACTTTAACTGCCATGGCAACATCACATGGAAGCCTAAGGTTTGTAATATAGGGAGGGACATTTAAAATTATCATCTACAGCTCTCTAGTGCCTCACCACACTATACACTCCTGGATTCCATAGCATTCCATAGCATAGATCTATGATAATTAAAATAGCATGTCAATACAATTGTGTAGGTGTCATGGTTTGAGTGTTGGACTATGATTCTGGAGACCAGGGTACGAATCCCCGCTCAACCATGAAACCCCACTGGTTGACCTTGGGCAAGCCACACACTCTCAGCCTCAGTGGAGGCTGTTCATTAACAGTTGCATCACACTCTTGGCTTATCTTAGGATCTGCTATGAAACTGAGATCCTAGTGGGGACAAGACTTATTGCAGTAGCATTTAAATAATACTAAGTTGGGAAGCAAAAGCCTGCATGGTGTAGTGGTTTGAGCATTGGACTACAATTCTGGAGACCAGGGTTTGAATCCCCACCTGGCCATGGAAGCTCACTGGGTGACCTTGGGCAAGTCACATTCTCTCAGCCTCAAAGGAAGACAAAGACAAACCCCTTGTGAACAAATCTTGCCAAGAAAAGCCTGGGATAGGGCTGCTTTAGGTTCCCCATATGTCAGAAATGACTCGAAGGCATAGAGCAACACAAAGTTTGAGAAGGCTGATGAAGATACTAAGTAATAATTGTAATTCTTGATTTTACAACTGATGGAGGGGTTACTATTTTGGACAACAGTTCCCAGGAACATCTAGACAGCATGGTTAATGGCCATGCTGAGAAGGAATTCTGCCGTTGTCTTCCTAAACATTAACCTCTCCAAACTCTCCTTTTTTTCCTCCAAGTCTCCAAGATGAATTGCACCAGAATGTCTTTATGCCAGATTTATCATTCTGACTGGACCTGGATTGAGGATTCTGATCAGACATGATGTTGGCAGGACATCTGAGGAGAACATGGCCTTTGGCTTCCTTTGGCAGGTGTGCAGGGGAATTCAAGAGGCCTTCAACATATTGGATAGTGGCATTACCTCACATTCTCTTCTCCATAAATATTAAAATTCATTAATTAGGTGAAGGACTTAATCTCCTTTTGGAATTTCAACAGATACTAAAGCCCTTTTATGTCAGGTTTGAAGCACTGAGAAATATCCTTTTGATGAAAACAGACCAGCATGAAAGGGGGGAAAGAGCTCCTGCCTGCCAAAAGGAGGTCTTGAAATTAGAGATGTATGTGTGGGGAGGAGAGAGAGGACAAAATCCTACACCAGGACTTATGCATCGATTGCAATATGTAAGGCTGACATTGGGAGACAACATTCGAAAACATATTTATTTATTATTTTATTCTTGCATTTATATCCTTCCTTTCTCCCAAAATGGAATCCAAGGCAGCTTACAATAATTTTGAAAAGACCCAACTAAAACAAGTAAGTCATTAAACATCAACATTATTAAAAATATGATTAAAACAGCTGAAACACTTAAAACATATTTAAAGCACACTTCCAACAACAATAGCATGCACACATACACACACACATGACCAGTGGTGCAGTGGTTTGAGTGTTGGACTATGACTCTGGAGACTAGGGTTCAATTCCCCACTTGGCCATGAAAGCCACTGGGTGACCTTGAGCAGGTCACATGCTCTCAACCTCAGAGGAAGATAGTGGCAAACCTCTTCTGAACAAATCTTGCCCCCCAAAAAACCATGATAAGTTAGACTTAGTGTTACCATAAGTTGGAAATTACTTGAAGGCTCACAACAGCAAAAACACACATAGCACACCATTTCACACACTGCAACTCTATAGTTAAAATTCAAAAGTCTGTCTACATGAAAACATCTTCACCTTCTGGTGGAAAGACAGAAGGGACAGAGCCAACTAGACCTCCCATGGAAGTTCCCCAGCCTGGGAGCAGCCAGGAAGAAGGCCTTGTCTCCTAAGTCCTTACCAACCACTAGGAAGGTGGTGGGACTATGAGAAAGCCCTTCTCTGCAGATCTCAATGCACACTTTGGTTTATATAAGGAGATATGGTCTTCCATATAGTCTGGGCCGAAACTCATTGTCACAGTTCACTAGCATGGCTGTATATTTAGAGAGATCTTGTAGTGCCTTTGAGACTAACTGAAAGAATGAAGTTGTCAGCATGACCTTTCGTAGACTTAAGTCTACTTCTTCAGAAGCATTTGGAGGAGTGGAAACCAGGGTCAGACATACATAAAGAAGATGTCTGTCTGTACCTGGGCAAGTTTCTTAAAGAGGCTGATGGATTTTCACTCCATTCAACTAAATTTGGTGCTTTCCATAGTGGTAGAATTCAAGAATATAACCGTGTTTGTGTAAGTGATGTGGCACCATCATCATCAAGTTACGATTGTGGCACATTGCATAGGATCTTGGCCAAGCGATAGGCCTACTGCAGTACAATATTAATTTGCACAAAACAGGAGAGAACAACTAGGCATTGGTGCAGTCTACAGACATGAAAGCCAGGTTCTCCAGAATTTAATTTAAGAAAAAGGGAGGCCATAAGATGATGATTCTTCACTTGCAAATACAGTTAAAAGATGCTAGACCTCAATAAACACATCCTTTCTGATGTCGCTCATTTGATTTCCAGGAATAGGGTTTAGCACCTCGGATATTGCCTTCAAAGTTCATACTAAAATCCAGATTGGATTTATCACTTCATTGACATGGAAGTCACCACCTATTAGAAAAATTGATACATATGTACCCGTGTGTGTGTGTGTGTAAAATGAACCAGAGCCTGGAAAAGTTCCCTTTTTTTGCACCACAATTCTCAAAATACCCTAGTCAGCATGGCCCCTGGCATGATTGGTGCAGAATTTTGGGAGTTAGTCTTCTAAAATATGTTTTACAGACTCTGAGTATCTAATGTCTGGTTTGTATTCTTAGAAATGATGGGAACAAAGGACACCAAGACTTTTTATGGTGGTTGGTTGTTAATGAAGTCCTGCAGCGTAAGGCATAATGGACAGCCCAGTTTAGCCTCCTCCTGTTCCCAGGATGTTACCAACCCATATAACACTCTATGCTAATCTATGCAAAGGAGCTTTCTCAAGTCTGAAAAATGATAAATATCAGTAGAAGCGGGGGGGGGGGGGGGGGTTAGTGTCATAGATACAAAGGCTAGCAGAATTTACAGTGCTTTCTTAGCAGACATTTCCAGGTGTTCTCTGTTAAACTATTGTGCTGTTTTGCATAACTGTCCCTTAGATAATGAAGTATTCTTCCCCATCCCCAGATTGGCTCCATAAAAAAAGGAGTCTGCACTGGGCACAGTCTCTCCGAACAGCCAGATGTAAAAATGATGGGCAGCCTTATAACGTCATGTACTTTGGGGGGCTGTTAGTGGTTTCAATCTGTCGTTGCCAGCAACAGGGATTTTGCTAAAAGTTGCACATGGATTTTTTGCCGCCTTGCTTGGACTTCTGGACTGGACTTCTCTCAATATTGTTAGGGAAATGACATTATGGCAAACTTCCTTGCAGCCTTGTTTGTAGATCATGGTAGAAATCACATGCAGGCTACTAGGTGACACCACCCCACACATATAGGCCAAAATCACATTTGTGTATTACTCAGTATTACATCCCCCTAAAGCAGTGATTCCCAAACTCTGGTGTTTCAGGTGTTTTGGACTTTGGCTCCCAGAATCCCAAACCATGATGGCTGAGCCTTCTGGGAGCTGAAATCCAAAACACTTGGAGGATCGGAGTTTGGGAATTACTGCCTTATAGAATCGGTTGGACATTTTTGTCTAATGAGGAACATTTGCAGAAGTGAAGCTGCACATCTGGTGTCACACATGTCCACTGTGAACTGAGCATGGAACATCACAGGTACAGATTGCACATGCAAGTGTGCATTGCATGTTACATATGCAGGTGTACGCACACATTTCAGTTTGCAATGTTGCAATTTACTAACATGGTGGCATGGTGCACCTTTCACATAACTCAATGAGAGTAAATTTATTATGCATCATCTCCTCGAAGCAGGATCTTGATCATATTACAAAATTGGGAGAATCATGCCTTCAGAAACTGGTTGGGGGGGGGGAAAATAAGTCTCCTCTAAAGTAAGTTATCCTGCATTCTCCCACACTTCATTTTCATTAACAAAACTCAGATTTTTAAGAACTATAAGTGAAATGAAGGAGAATTCAGCAATGGGCCAAGGGGTGAGGTGAAAAATGAGTCCCAGACAATCCATAGTTGCTCACCTTTCATGTAGACATTACTAAAGGAGTGGACAGAATGTGGCCCACCCCTTGGACCTCACTTTTGCAAACCCCAAAGGGTCCTACCAGTCCCCCTCCCAAAGACTCCCATGCACCATCTCTCTTTTTTAATGATGTGATTTTCAGGCATTTTCCCCCTCCAGCAAGCACACAGAAAATCTCCCATACATTTCAGAGCATGTGAATATACCGCCAACCCACTCACAATGACTCCAAATCTTCCACTCGCCTCCCAAAGGTCTGTTATTGTGAGTGGTACATCTCAAAATATCAAATAGTGGCATTATATTACTCCCAGACACCATCTTGAGAAGGCCTACAGAGAAAAACAGAAATATTAGGCTTCCAAAATCTCTCCAGTTTTGTCACTGCTTGCATGTTCATAGATAATGATGAGAGCAAGAAGGAAAATCAGTAAGGCCATGGGGTTCAACAGTGGGACTGCCTGCCCACTGGGTCTTGGTAGGTTCTTGGGTCTTGGTAGGTTCCTCATATATGGCACCATTCCTGGACCAAAGCTATGGTCATAAATGAGTCCATCTGTGACAAACAAGCAATCCTGGTGCTCCTAGCATTTCAATTCCAGGATATCCAGCTCAACCCCCATAAGGAGCATAGAAAGGAATCTTGTAGCACCCTTGAGTCCAATTGAGAGAAAGGAATTTGTAGCCTAAGCTTTCATAGACTCAGCCTATTTCTTCAGAAAATCAGTGCAAGAAGGACCTTTTAAGACTGGAACCCCAAACAAATTACCAAAATTGTGAAGGTCAACAAGGACATGCTGCTACTCAAGACAACACTACATCTGAAACACTGAGAGAAATCAGATCTTTCTCTTTGGGGGCAGAGTTAACATAATTAAAAGGAACATTTTACCTCATTTGATTTATTTAATTAAAGCCCTGTGTAGAGCTGTCCCAATTATCTGTTTTCATGAAACAATTCCAACGCTCAGCAATTTTCGGTTGGGGTGATAAATTACTGCATCGCTCATATTTTTTAAGCAACTACAGTTGTCAGTAGAAATGGGGAGGTTTCCACTCTTCTAACCTTGCTACTTATCATGCAGCCTTTTAATGTTCACAAGCTCTTTAGGTGGCAGCCAAATGCCTCTTTGAAGCAAATGAGATGGATTAACTGGGAAATTACCTATCTACAACTGTTGCATAGCATTACAGCACCAGGAGCTGGGTCGAAATTCAAAAGAAAGTGTTCCTTGCATTCAGTTCATTCTAAAGGGAGGGGGGGGAGATAAACTGTGTAGGAATAAATTGACTAACTAAATGCAATTAGATCCTTTTAAGCATCAGAGGATGCCCATTCAGTTTAACCTTGACTCAAAATGGTCAGACTGGGGTTAAACCCAAAGGGATGCTGCTAATTTTCGATTACCTTTAGTGTTTACCATTAAGGTGAGCCATTGTGTTTGGCAAGCCCGCTGTAAACACTTCGAAGGAGCTTCCAAGCACCCAACAGAAGCTGTTAAACATACACAGACCTTTATCTGGCTCAAGTTTTGGCCCTGAAATTTTAGGCTCTGGGATTGTCCTGACCGGAATGGATTGTCCTCTACATTTGCTGGGATCAAAGGCACAGGACACCGTGAAAGTGGAAAAACCACAAATAAAAAAACCACATCCTTTAAAAAAACAAACAAACCTGAGACAACACCTCTCTAAGAATTTTTAGGTCCTCCAGTTCAACTCTATGGTCAACATCCAGCAGAAGTTGACCATAGAATCATGCGGAGGACCTACAAATACCCAGAGAAGTGTTTTCTGTAGGAAACTCTAGGTGTGGTCAGCATGTGGCAGATTTGTGCCGAAGATCTTGGGGATTTCTAGAGAGAATATATTCATCAAATCCACAAAATTCAAACCTGGAAATGTGAAGGGCCAAGTGTAATTCATTTGTCACCATAAAATCTCTGATCCTGGAGACCTAGGCTACACCGCCATTTACAAAGGCTAAGAAAGTACCAAAATGAATGGAGGGGAAAAACAATGGACTTTCACTCAATACTCACCTTTACACCTCTTCTTTCAGGGCTACTGTCCTGTGGCCACAATGGCAATTCCCCTTTGCATGTAAGAAATCCTTGGCTCCCTGGCTGGATTTACAGCATGAAGTTTCCTTGCATTGCCTCATTGTCAATTCAATATTATGGCCAGGATCCTGCAGGTGACTTATGCTGGTGAAATACCCATAAGGTGACTTATGCTGGCAAAATATGCCAGCATAAGTACTTTGTGGCGTGTTGCACAAGGAGGTACCTAATAACTCCTTGCACAATGCCTTTGCCCCTGATGTGCAAGAACAAGCAGACAACCAGTCACTG